GAGGTGGTGTACGTCAAATTCCCGGACGTGACGTGGCAGCTCCCCGGCACGCCCGAGCCCGGCATCTATCCCCTGCGGCCCGTAACCGAAGCCTGGTTTCTCGACCGCGGGCGCGAAAACCCTGTCCTGAAAGTGAAACGACGCTTAGCTGCCCTAGAAGATTAGATTGTGGATGGTAGACCATCTTCCTATCGTAGAGGAAGCTTGTTCTGAAGCCTTCGGAGGAAAGCAGCTTCAGCTGACCCCGGCCTTCGCGATTACGGCGCACAGCAGCCAGGGCAAGACGCTGGATGCCACACTGCTCGACCTGAACGTGGACAAGAACGTCCACCAGACCCTGGGCACCGTGGCGGCGAGCCGCGTCCGCAGCCGTGAGGACGTGCTCATTCTGCGGCCCTTCCCGCTCTGGCTGTTCCAACGCGGATCGCCCGAAGGCCCCGATCTGCTGCTGAAGACACTCCGCAAAGAGCCCGTCGATTGGAAGGCCTGGCGCGAGAGCAAGAACCCCTTCGCCGCCTGCGGCAGTTGTGGCCACGTGAAAGATTTCGCCAACTTCTCCTACGTCGAGTGGGGCAAAGTGCGAGCCAACCGGGTGGCCAGGTGCCTCCACTGCGAGAAGGGCGGCAAAACCAACGGCAAGCGCAAAATCAGCGGAGACGCCGAGATCTTCACCAAGCACGTTTGCGACGTCTGTGGTTGCAGCAAAATGGCGGCGGCATTCCCGGTGGCACAGCTGCGTCAAGAAGGACCGGATGTCAAGAAGGTGTGCACGCAGTGTGCTCGCAATCGGCGCACCCTGTCATGCTCTATCTGCGGAAAGACTAAGCCATCGGACGCTTTCGATGCCACAATGTGCACCCTGCCGCACGGCTGCGCGGCATGCACCGACTGTCAGCAGGAGCTGCATCCAAAGGCGAAGCGCTTGCGAGGAGGCTGGTTCCTTTGCAGGGGCTGCAAGCAATCTTATCCTCTTGATGCAGCGGGCAATGCTAGCAGCAGTCACTGCCTGAATTGCGCCGTGCGTGGCACAAGGGCAGCCACTGGATGGCACAAATGCCAGAACCCGCAATGCCAGAAGCTGTACCAAGAGGATCATGCATCTGGTCTTGCAAGGCCTCAGGTCTGCCCGGAGTGCAGGGCCGCGAGACAAAAGCGAGTCCGCAATTGACTTCTTGTCTCCTATATCCCTGTCAAAGGCGGTGCCGAAGGGGCTTTGGAGTAGCAAGGGGGACTGGGACCTGGATAGCGTGCAGCTGACAAAAAGGGCTACGTGTTGTACTTCGCATTGGACGTTCTACCAAGATTGCAGGCGGTGAGACTGCTCACATGATGGAAACCTTGCAGCCCGAGCCGCCCGTGCTTTTGTTTGTCCGCAATCGTGAGCTCAAGGCTACGGACTGTATTGCCCTGGCCAGCCACGGCTGCATGCAGAGTAGCAACAAACGTCTGGAAGGGAGTTTGTTACACCTCTATACAGGCCGAGAAAGCTCGGAGCCCCTCCAGAACGGCATGCTGTAATTGTTCGCCTAGCGGTGGATTGAAGCCCTAGTCATGACGGCATTGTTGTACTTGGTGGCGCGTCGGAGCAGTATCTCATGATGTATGCACCGAAAGGCCCGGCTCCAAGATGGCGCGATCGAAGCGTTTCGGATGGCAGTTTCCAGCCCTGTCGTGCCTTGACAGGACCACTACTTGGACCGTGCAGCACAAGGGCAGGGCAGGGCAGGGCAGCGCAGGGCAGGGCAGGGCAGGGCAGGGCAGGGAAGGGCAGGGCAGGGCAGGGCAGGGCAGGGCAGGGCAGGGCAGGGCAGGGCAGGGCAGGCAGGGCGGCA